GCCGTCATCGCTGGGATTCCTCTCCCTGGGTGAAATATGGAGGTCAGCGGTTGATGATCTGTATACAGTTGGAATGTTCTTCCGAACAAATAGGCATGGAATTTCTTTACCCCCCACACGAGGGCTAGCGCTTCCTTGTCTATTTGCGAATAATTTCGCTCGGCCTTCCGTAGACTTCTTTACGCAAAAGCGATTGGTCTTTCTGTTCCGTCTTTAAACACGTGCGATAAGACAGCTCCAATTCCCACTGGTGACGCATCGCATGCCAATCTCAATGGCAACTTGGGGTCGTAATGCGTCAGCACTTGATCCGAGTTGATCATCTCTTTTGCTTTAACTATGCTCTTTCACATTCTTTCGACCATTTCCATTTGGTTCCTTGCTCGAGCAGTTGATTCAAGGGCTGTATCACTGTGGCTAAATTTGGCAGAAATTTATTGTAGTAATTCACGAGTCCTAGAAATGAACGGACTTCCTTTACATCTTTAGGACGGGGTGCTTTTAGAATGGCCTCTACCTTGTCTTTCTTCTTGTGGAGACCTTGAGCATCAATCTCGTGGCCGCAGAACTCAATCTTGTCTTGTAAGAAAGCGCACTTCTGTGGGTTTGCTCGTAGACCATGTACGCTCAGCTGCTTCAGCACCTTTTCCAGGTTCTCCATATGTTTTCCTTCAGTTGGGCCTGTAATCAGGATATCATCTATCAGGCATGTGTTGTTTGGGTTATCTCCTACTAGTCGATCCATCGTCTGTTGCCAGATCGCTGGGGCCGATGTTATCCCAAACACCAGTCTGTTGTACTGGAAAAGACCCATATGCGTATTTATCGTAAGAAGCTTCTTCGACTCCTCCTCCAGCTCCATTTGATGATATGCTTGCTTTAGGTCGATCTTACTAAATTTCTGGCCACCTGCTAAGTTTGCAAAAAGATCTTCGATTCTTGGTAGGGGTTATTGTTCTGCCTGTATCTGCGGGTTTACTGTGACTTTGAAGTCTCCACACAGTCGGACAGAGCCATCCGATTTTAGCACGGGGACCACGGGTGTCGCCCACTCGCTCCATTCGGTTTTGGTAAGGACTCCTTTGTTCTCAAGATCTTTGATTGCTTCCTCCACCTTGGGCTTGAGTGCGTACGGTACCTGTCTCGCCTTGCAAAACTTGGGGGTGGCCCCTTCCTTCAAAGTGATCCTTGCTTTCCAGAAAGTTAATTTCCCTAACTAACATCTGCATACTTCTTCCGAAGATCTGTCACTGTAATAGGAGTGTTGGAAACTCCCCTCGCTTTGTTGAGTACTCTGATCTTTTTCCAGTCAAGTGCGATCTCTTTCAACCAATCCCTTCCAAAAAGGGCCGGCCCCCTTGTCTCGACTACATACAACGGCAGCTGCTTCTTTTGTTGGTTGTATGTTACTTTCACTTGGGCCACGCCCCTTGGGGTGATCTTCTCACCGCTGTATGTCTTTAACTGAACCTTAGTCTTCTTCAATAATCGCTCTTGGTAATGCTCTCTGAACGTACTCCACGGAATCACGGACACTGCGACACCTGTGTCGAGCTCCATCTTGATCTCCTTTTCTTCTATCTTCGGTGTTACCCAGATAACGTCATCCTTACTTGTGCCGAGATCATATAACTTTAAACTGCCAACATCCTTGTACTCGCCATGGTCTTCCTCATGTAATGCACGCACATTCTTGTCGTTATTCCTTCTGTTTCTCTTGCTGGCCTCCTCGGCATCCTTGCTCGATGGTTTGGATTTACAGACTGGCCTGATGTCCCCTTGTTTCCCACAATTATAGCAAGTTGCGTTTCTAAAACGGCAACGGTTAGCATTGTGGTCTTTTGACCCACATCGATAGCACTGTCGATCCACTTCATCTTGGTGTCGTTCTATCTTATGTACCTTGTTCTCCTTCTGTGTGCCCTCTTGTAGCTCTAGAGTGTCCCTAATTGCTGTTTCCATGGCTAATGCTATCTCCATTGCTTTAGCAAATGTCAGCTTCCTCGTCGCTAGCAGACGTTTCTGTATTTGCTCATTTTTTATTCCACATATCTCTCAAGGCTTCATCGAATTGTCCTCCAAAATTGCAGTGCACGGTTATCTTCTTTAGCTCTACTATGTATGCTCGAATATCTCAATCGCCAGCCTGGTTCCGTTTATAGAATCTGAACCTCTCAGCAATCTCTAGTGGTTTCGGGTTTAAGTGGCTTTTTAAAATCTCTACGATCTCGTTTAAGTTCTTCTACGCTGGTTTTTGTGGTGATGTTAAGTTTTTTAACAGGGAATAGGTCTTACCTCCCATTAAACTCAGTAACGCTGGAACTTTTTTATCGTCTGGTACTTCATTCACGACGAAATACTGCTCCACTCGCTCGACATAAGTCTCCCAATCKCCGTCCGTTTCGTCAAAATTCTCGAGTTTACCGTATGTTGGCATCTTCTAAATTCTTCCTTGGCTCTTTCACTCCTTAAACAAAAACTTTTCCTGGTCCAAATCCTCGTCGCCACTGTGGAGAACTCAATCTAACTTCTTTATTTCACTGATAATAAAACAACATGGCGTATCTCAACGCTGATCAAGACAACTCATTAATATGCTATGCGGTTGTGAAACCGCTGGCCACGCATACGTTCATGCTCAATCTATTACACTTTCCACCTTTAAAAAAAATTATGTAGTTTATTTTACTTTTTACAGTGCCAACAACAAAGCCAACAACAAAGCCAAAAAAAGAGCCTTGCCCAGGTGAGTCAAGCTACCAAGCTGAGTTAAGGTGTTTCGATACAGTTTTGTGATCACCAAACTGAACTTTTTCAATCGGCGCGTTGACAATGTTCTGTTTGCTGGATCACTTTAGAATTTATACCAGTTGTTGCTCTTGGTTTGAAGTTTGTACTAATATATATTTTATTAAAATCGAAGTTTTCATCGCAAGAAAATCGAGAAAAATCGAAAATTGGAAAAAAACAAAAGTGCGCGCGATTGCGTTTCAGATGTGCTGTAGAAAAACTGTTGACTCCTAAGAATCCCCAATTCATGACAAACAAAATATCAAGAATTTAAAGAAATTCTTATGTTAGATTTGGAGAAAATCGCACGAACATTTCATACTCTCAGTCAGCTCTTAAGACCAGCAAGGAAATAGTTGATCAAACTTACGCAGTTTAAAAACAAGAGCAACAGCAACATTTTAGGTTATTTTTGAATAATTTTATTCAATAGTAGCTTTTTAAACGAGTGCACAAAAGAGATAAACAAAACTGAAAGTATGAAATGTTCGTGCGATTTTCTCCAAATCTAACATAAGAATTTCTTTAAATCCTTGATATTTTGTTTGTCATGAATTGGGGATTCATAGGAGTCAACAGTTTTTCTACAGCACATCTGAAACGCAATCGCGCGCACTTTTGTTTTTTTCCAATTTTCGATTTTTCTCGATTTTCTTGCGTTGAAGACTTTGATTTTAATAAAATATATATTAGTACAAACTTCAAACCAAGAGAAATAGCTGGTATAAATTCTAAAGTGATCCAGCAAACAGAACATTGTCAACGCGCCGATTGAAAAAGTTCAGTTTGGTGATCACATAACTGTATCAAAACACCTTAAAGAAGTGAGCAGTATGCCCTTTTTATTGCACATCTCCCACCATTTGGGAGAGATGCATGATCATTAGGAGTTTCCGAGAAATGTTCTATTATGTGTAAATTTGATCATTTTCTTTTCTTGTGTATTTTCTTGCTATTTAGTGTATCGTATGTAAATAACTTAAACACAAAGATAAGTAGCAACGTTGCAAACTCTCTGATTTATAAATTGCAAATTTATAAATCAAAAACGTGAAACTAATAACATGTCCCAAGCTGACTGTGCAAATATTTAGATTATTCAAGTAGTCCCGGTTTAAGGAGGCTCTGGGTAGTTTTGGCCTGGCACACTTAGCCGCATTGAAACGGCTACAACTTCGTCTTGAATAACTCGATCTGCAAGCACTTTTCACACAATGTCAGGAAAGGATTAAAGGTTTCAAAAATGATAAATTAGTTTAAAGCGGCCTTTTCATTATGACGTAATGATGACATCATAGAAATCGTTTACCGCTTATTTTCTCCAAAACTAGACCTAAACTTTCAAAGCGACTTGAACCAGTCGATAGTGTTCATCAAGGCATCCAACATATTGCAATATGAAAAAAATGTATGAGAGCGTTTTCCAAATATTACGCGTTGAATATTTTCATGGACTTTACTATTATTTCCAGCGTGTCAACTTTATACCCTCAAAATGGGGACTWTAATTTAGTGGATTCAATATWTTTAGTAGCTAGAATATAGGTACGGATATAGACACTGTCCTTGTTGAGTATGAATCACATTGTGATTTTCTTTATAACGTTATGGAGTTTTTGATATGAAGGTAAATGACCCCATTTGTTGTTAAAAGCAATAGAAAATATGGATAATATAAAGAACATATCGGCATTCAAAAAATCGTCGAACGATTTGTTTCTAAATGAAGTCACTAAAAGATGTATATTTTACAAATATTCTCCTTCAATTTCTTATTAATTGAAGGGTTGTAAGGCAGTCAAATAAAAATAAGTACGCTCACAACTAACAGCACACGACAAGGAATAACACGGAAGTCAAGCGTGAATAATCAACAAGCAGCCGTGAGCGAAAATAGTTGTGAGCGTACTTATTTTTATTGTTGGGTGCCTTGATGAACACTATCGACTGGTTCAAGTCGCTTTGAAAGTTTAGGTCTAGTTTTGGAGAAAATAAGCGGTAAACGATTTCTATGATGTCATCATTACGTCATAATGAAAAGGCCGCTTTAAACTAATTTATCATTTTTTTTAAATTTAATCCTTTCCTGATATTGTGTGAAAAGTGTTTGCAGATCGAGTTATTCAATACGAAGTCGTAGCCGTTTCAATGCGGCTAATTGTGCCACACCATAACTACCCAGAGCCTCCTTAAACATGACGAATTTTTAACTTGTCATTTATCTCGTCAAAGATTTGGCCTGTACAGACCGTTTACACGGAACCGTCTCTGTTGTATATGGGGCTAAGTAATTATGAAATAAGCGCACAATTTGGATTAGCCTGCGTAGCGGCCCAAATGGGGAGGGGAGGGGAGGGGGAAGGGTTGGGGGGCCTGTGGAGGAGAGGAGGTTTGCATACAACCCTTGAAAGATCGGGAGTGTTGTTGAAAATGATCCCTGTTTCTTTCAAACTTTCAGCAATAATTAAACCGAAGCCATCCTTACGCGAAGAAGGTTTGAATAAATCCAAGTAGGAATCGTAGCTATTCCTTTGATTTCCGTACGTCGTTAATAAATTATTTTTGCATAGATGACAACTTTGATTTGGATTATAAACTAATGGTTTTCGGCCTCGTTTCGATTTTGGATTTTCTGGAGCTCCAAGTTTTGAAGGAATCGTATTTTCTTCGACAACATAGCTTTTCTTTGCCATAGTTTGTTTTCAATTTTGACAAGAAGCGGAGGTCAAACCGCACATATGTTCGCGTTTTTTTATTGGCTCATCTCGACAAATGACCTAATCCGAAAACATGGGGGCGGAATACTCTTAAATAATAGGATCATTGCAGGGCCCCCCACACTTCCCTCTCTCCTCTCCCCATTCCCCTCTCCTCTCCTCCACAGGCCCCCAACCCTTCCCCCTCCCCTCCCCATTTGGGCCGCTACGCAGGCTAAATTTGGATGCAAGAACGATACTTTACTCGAACTCTCCTTCTGAGCCCCCATGTGGTCTTCTTATGTCTACTGCGCATGACTTAAAACACAGGAAACCCATTACATGCATGTAACAGTCTCCTTCATCGTATACTAAAATATTTTTTGTTTTGTTTACACCGAACTGGTCCCAAATTTGTGCGGCTTGGCGTTTGAATCTTTGTTCGTATTTTGGTTTGAGGTCTTGTATTCAAAATATGGGACAAGAAAATGCACAAACTGTGGTTTGATATGGCAACTCACTGGTATCCAACCCCCTAACAACGATTTTAGCCTTTCAGCGATTGCTTCAATGTTATTTTTTAGCTTGAGCAGAAAATTGTTTGACAAAATTTCTGTCTATGAGGATAACATATTTTTTGACGTCCGTTTAAAGACGAATTGCTGCATTTTATAACTGAGATCAATAATACTCGACATTTTTGTATGCTTGATCCTGCATAATATTTTAAACTGAATATTTTCTCGAATTTTTCATTTTTTACTCATTTTACCAGTTTTGCATGATAATAAAATAAGAAAAATTGAGAATTCAATTAGATTTTTGAGAGAAAACGGGAACGGGAAGTCCACCCTAAGGGACCAAGAGTTTTGCCAGTCAAAACAAGTTCTTGAAGCGAAAGCGCGAAGCTTACGAGAAGAAGGGCGAGGTAAAAAGCCCTACAAGACCCAAAGTCTTAGCAGTAACGAAGAAGAAACTTTGTGGAATGAAGGAAGACTTGAAAATTCATCTCCACAAACGTTACTGCAAACTACCTGGTGGCTGTTAACCCAGTATTTTGGTCTGAGGGGACGTCAAAAACATCATATGATGAGAGTTGAAGATTTAACTTTCGGCATTTCTGACATTAGCACAGAATTTGTTCACTTTGCAGAATCTTACACGAAAACACGCCAATCTCATTTGACTGAAATGTCAAGATCCTTTAAGCCAAAGATGTTTGTTACTGGAAGTAATAGATGTCCAGTAAAGTTGTTTAAAGAGTTTCTGTCACATCGCCAAGATCAGTTGGAAAATACCGGCAAAGTCTTTTTTGCAATGAATTACAGTACATCTCAAATTTCCGCTGGGACTTGGTAAAAGAACTAGCCGATGGGTGTAAACAAGATTAATTCCATGCATGATGTAAGAAATCGTTAATAAAAGTTCCCTTCCCACTCCTCACGAAAAACGGTCGTCAAAAACCCATCAATACCAATGGTATTCCTTTGCGGAGTTTCTGTTTCCCATCATGCAAACCACACCAAAAAACTTGGCTTGGGCTCCAAGTGCTTATACTTTATCAAAAATACTATGGTAGCCCGAGTTCACGCCACGAAGGGCGTCTAGTTCTAAAAGAAGTCAAACGAATCCCTATATATTTGGTTTAATCGTTTGATTCTTAAAATAACTTAAGAAGATCTTGCGCAAAATGGCTTGATGAATTGGGTTGCTGATCAATTAGTTGTGTGCAATCGATTGGTTAACTGTCTGACATTGATTAATTACTGAATTTATTTAATTTAGATTATCCTTACAAGGCTATCGTAGAAATTGGAGTAACTCCCATAACCGTTGGTCCGGATTATCTAGATTGGTCGAAGGACAAGGTAAGTTTAGGGTATGGGTTTGGTCCACTTCACACATCCAACACTCTCTCATTATTGATACTTGGGGTGGCAAGGGGGCACGCATTACCTAGTAACTCACGAAACTACGAAGCTTTAGCTTTTGAATAAAAATAATCCACTGGGAGAAAAACAAACAAAAACGAATGATTTGAGCAAATCTAGAATAATGACAACAAGATATGCTGGAGTAAAAAAATTAAAAGCAGCCTTTATCATTTTATGTTCGCTACATGGCGTCCAGTGAAAATTTTCATCCTCTCAAACAAATAGTTGCTTAAAGTTGAAGCTAAAAGCACCTCGGCCGCGCCCTTCATATGAAGCTATAAACATTACGACATCAACAATGTTCTTAGAGATCTGAACAGAGTTCCTTTTCACATGGTTGATTTCTTCGATGATTTTGAAGATCGAGTGCATGCTTTTAACAGTTTATTCCGATATGTACTAAATAACCATGCTCCAATCAAGCAAATCAAAATATAGTCATAACCTAACCCATACATCACCTCTGGGTTTAAACAGCTCATGAGAACGCTGGACGAATGGCATATAAGTGGAATTAGGACAGGCGATAAGCTACACTGGAATGCGAATCGTTTCTCTCGAAGTTAAGCGTGAGATAAGGATTGCTGAAATGGAACATGTAGGTACTGAAATTCGAAATTTCAATCGGAATACAAACTCCATTTAAAAAATCATTAATCGGATTGTCCCAAAGAAGAATGAGCCTTTGACAACTATAGAAGATGCCTTTACTCTTGCAAACAAATTTAAAGATTTCTATACAAACATTGGAAAAGTAACAGCTGAAAAGCCCACAGCTCTTGCTAACGTCAACAATTCTAATTCTCAAGAAACGGACCACATTCCACTAGTTTGCCCAATAACCGCAGTTCTGATGAAGATGATGACGATAAACTGAATTTAACTTCACTGATTAAGGAGAATGATGTAAAAAAATATCATTTAGACGTTTACCATCAAACAATCCTCCAGGACACGATACAGCAAGAGCTTTAAAAGACAGTTCACCCACTACTGTTCCAATAATTACAAGTCTCATTAATAGATGAGAGTATATGGACCGCGTGGCACTAATGAAATAGTCTCATTAATAGTTCCTTCTCTTCAAATACCCTTCCTCAAGACTGGAAAATAGCTGAAGTGATTCCTATCCATAAATCCGGTGACAGTGAAGATCCTGCAAACACACGTCCCATATCTCTACTACCCATTGTATCTAAATTTGTGAAAGATCCGCACACTCTCTGTTCACCTCCTTCCTAGATGCAAATGACATTGTTCATAACCTGAAAAGTGGGAACAGAAAACTCCATTCTACTGAAATTGTTTTACTACACTATACTGATGAACTGCTTAAGAATATGGACGATAAGAAGATATCTGTTATCGTTTTATTGGACATGTCGAAACCTTTCGATAGTATTCGTCATGATCTGAGGATGCGTAAGCTTCATAAATTAGGTGTCCGATGCTGCGTGCGCCTGGTTTGATAGTTATTTATCACAACGCAAGCCGTCAAGATAGAGAATACCGTGTCTGAGACCTTGCCCTTATTAGAAGGAGTACCACAAGGGTCCATTCTTCTGTACTGTTTACTCTATATGTAAATGATCTTCGTGTTCCAAAACACTGCAGAGCTCGACGACACTAAAATAGTTTTGGCGCTTCCTTCATGCCGTGATTTCTTCGGAGAAATACGCATGCGTCTCTTCCTACTTCCGCCGTGGCTTTTGGTCTTTGTTCTGCCGTGAAGTTGTTTTGTTCTACCGTGGGTTCTCTCTGTTCTGCCGTGGGTTCTCTCTGTTCTGCCGTGGGTTCTATCTGTTCTGCCGTGGGTTCGCTTTCTTTTGCCTTTAGTACTTTTTTTGCCGTGACCCTTGTGGGCCACCGTAGTTATGCCAAAACCTTAGAAAAAGTATGAATCCACCTGACCTAAAAAATACCCAGAAACGTTTTGCTAAATTCTTATACATCATTACGAATGTACGAAAAGAAAATATTAACAATAGACAATAATCAAATGGAAAAACCATGTAAATAATCAGTGTATAAATATTATCACCTATATATTATTTGGGTTACCGTTAATGTACGTTACCGTGCAAGATGCCAAATAAAAAACTTGCTTACTTACTAYTCACGAGCGGAAATTACACTGAAAATACAGGCAATATAACTTAACGGTAACTTGAGACTGGGCTCAACCCCTCCCTTCCGCCTCCACCCAATTTTCCTTAGTTTATGTAGATTGCTGGATTATTTTACATATTTTTGATAGYCAGATCATCCTCGTTTCTTTATCATTTCCTCTCCCATTTTAGATCAGTGAATTTTTCAAAAAGGATCCATTTTTCTGTGATATTAACGTCAAGAAGAATGATGAAAGGTAATTTGAATAATATATGTATGTATATATGTGAGTTATTTCTGATATGGTCTTGATATACTTGAATGTATATTTGAAACGGCCATAATTTTGTATATATACCAACAAACGTGATTGTACAAAGTTTGTATTATACATGTATACCAGGTGATCTCGCCGATTACTATTAACCAATCAGATTGCGAATGGAATTTAAAGTTAAAAATTAATCCCATGCAGAGATTAAGATACATTTAATTAATAAGGTACAACAAAAACCAATCCAAAAGAAACATTTGCAAGCAAAATCACATTTATTAGCAAAAATAATAAAATACATACATTAGAATTTCGTTCAAACCTGTCCACAGGAAATGTTTGACTCCCAAAGTAGAAATATTCCACTGAAAATATGTGCCTTCTTCCAATGTGTTTTGTACAAAACCACACAAGCAACTTACCATAACTCCGCTAAATTTGGCCACTTCTTCTGAGTTATTCTATTCTCTAAATGTCCTTTCGAAACATTATTGGAAAGCCAAGTGTTTCAAGGAAATAAAGTAATCGCACTCAAGCAAAAAACAAAATGGCGGACACCATGCAGGCCCCGTTAAGTGAAAGTGTGCCCGCGGGGGGTATATGGGATGAATGAATGAATGAATAAAATCTTTATTTAAAAATAAATAAAGCCAGGGTAGTCCCTTCAAGAACTAATAAAAAAGCTCTGCTATCAATGGGAGCCTGACATAAAATACCAGTACAAATAAATTGAAATACTGATAAATAGAATAGATAAATACAAATAGATATATGAGTTAAATACTATAGATATGTGTAAATATATATAAGCCACTTTACGGCTTGACAACCGCCTCCAGGGAACACGCGACGCCATCCTGAATCCCCACCCTCCCTAGTAACGAAGGAAGGTGAGAAATTCGGGACAAACCCGCACGCGCACCAAGACGACTCCAAAACCGCAAAGTTGACCATAGTGATTGGATATTAGCTTGCAGTGAAAATCATGCATAGCGCGCGGTCCGAGATCACCTGGTGTACAAATAACAAATTAGATGCAACTCTTCGAAAGTAACTTAAGCTCTCTACTATTGTATCAGAAACATAATAATTGCAAGAAGTCAATCAAATATTTTGCATATAATTATGTGGTTGAGCACAAACACTGTTATAAGTACTTGCAATTCAGTACATCTCTTTCCTCTCGAGAATGATGCCTGATGGCGTCAAAACGTCCAGAACATTGGATTAAACTTTTCGCCACAAATTTTACAAATAATAATGATAACAATAATGTATATATAGGTTTCTTGTTGTCGAAAGTAATAATAATAATGATGATAATGATAATGATAATGATAATGATAATAATAATAAAAGCAAGTAGTTCTGTAGTTTTATCTTGAATATTTACATTGTAAATTTTCGTTTATCGGGCCCTATGGGGTTACCAATCAAATAAGTGTAATAGTGATGGTGATGGTGATGGTGATGGTGATGATAATAGTAATACTGAGTAATAGTAATAGTAATATTATTAGGAAATAGGCATCACTTTGTAACATTCTTTTAGTTGAACGACTTTCGTCTGAAAGGTTCTAAACGAGTACACTGTGAATGTCGAACCTTTCCTTACCCCCATTTTATTTACTTCAGATAACTTTGCCCTGAACGCGTATTATAAAGCCAGAAACCATCTGGTTGCACGCCTATAAGTTCTTGACCGCCACGAACGGCATTAAAGTATACTTACTTGTTTCCAGCACAAGAGTTGTTGCTTCCAACAGTGGAAGGCATAATGAATCCAACCACTCAACTAATATACTTGCGGGATCGACTCCAAACACTGCAATTTTTTGTAACTGTAGATATAGCTGCTGATTCAGTTGAATGATGCTTCCGGAAGCCACTTTTAGTATCGGTTTGTTGTTAGTGCTTACTAAGAAAGCAATACAGGTGGAAATGAATAGCCCTCTCTAAAAACTTTTAAGAACAAATGGGACAATAGTTATCCATTTCATTTCTTTTCCCTTTGAACAGAGGTGTCACCCTAGCACACTTCCACTCAACAGGAATGAATCCAGTAGTCAGAGAGACTAACATTGATAATCTTGGTTTTTAATTTTTAGCAACAAACTCGGCTTAATCAATCAAAAGACGCGGGGATATGTTGTTTAACGCTACTACAACGAAGCTGAAACGACTTCTGTCCATCCTGTTATACACATGTGTATGCGCCTTTAACAATATTCGGCCTACTTAAATATACCACATTTCAATATATCAGTAGAATTTGACAGTGATGCGTCCTTTAATTTTTGTTTTGATTTTAATGTTTTTTATTATTATTATTTCATTATTTGATTTTTTTAAATTTTTATTATTATTATTGTTTTTNTGTTTTTATTATTATTATTATTATTATTATCATTATTATTATTATCATTATTATTATTATTGCAATTATCAGTCTGACCAAGCAATCTTATGTGTATACGCCTTTCTCGAAAACAGATACGGCGCTAAGTTCAGTTTTCAGTGTAAGATTTGCGAGCTTCTAGCTATGCTGTTTTATACGATATGCCCTTTGCAGCTCATTATTGACGTGCTGATTAATTCACTGACAGCAAATGAGTGAACATCTTGATTCTCAAGGGTGAAATATAATGGTTATCAAACAAACTTTCTACAACCTGTTTCGAGAGATCGTAATATGACTGCATTTCGTAACACTAGTTATACATCGTTTCATTCAGTTCTTTTCAAGTAGCTAAAAAGAATCACGAGTTTAAAACAAATAAAGAAAAGTTTGCTCACGAGTACAGGCACGTGACCGTTAACTGTTATGTGTATACGCCGTTCTCCGGCGAAGGTTCAGTCCGCTTATTATATGTTTTAATACATGACTCACAGTTTTGCCTTTGGCTAAAATATTCACGTTAGCTTAGAATGTATAATAATTGAAAAGGTGTCCACTTCGGCACAACGACCCTCGCTCAGAGCCCAATATCTCCCAAATTACTAAACCGATTGAAAATCTAAGATAAATGACCGATTCAACTAAATTGGCTTTCGTTTAAGTACCTGTTAATTTTTTTCTGTACCGGCTGCCACTAGAAATTCCTTGAGAATAAAATATAAATATATACGTTTTTATTAATCAATTGCTTTATTTTATTTTTCTTTCACTTAGTTTAACTATAACCTTGGTCTCCAAAGACAAAGTAACAAAGGAGGATGTCAGAAGGAAGGTTGAGGCTTTTGCAAAAACAGTGGAAGGGGACGTTAAAATTAATATACTCTCTGTAGTAATCAAAGGTGAGTACTCTTCATATTTTATGATGATGTGGAATTGCTATGCTAATCCAAGTGTTTGAAGATTGGACCAGTACGGTAGAGTATTTGCAAACAATAAAAAGTGGTACTCTGTTTTGTGTTATCTTCTAAGATAGTGTCTTCTAATTGAGCCTTTTTGTTCTTTTTAAGGGCCTCCTCTGCGTCCAGCTGAAATTGCTGGAATAGTTATTGCTGTAGTGGTGTTGATTGCTGTCATTGTCATTGTCATCGTAGTCGTCATAAAAAAGGTACCATTTGATCTGTAATGAGCAGTTTGTAAGTGCGCGCGTCGGAACTTATTGAAAAACTCTACATTTGGTTATAAATCTAACTGCATATTTGAAGAAAATGATTCTCGTCCAAGACAAAGCTGCGTTTTCGGAATCCAAAACGTTGCAATTAAAACACTCAAAATTTCATTGTTTTTACGTTGAAAATTGAAACGCTGGTACTGAAGACGAATTTGATTAACTATCTGAGATAAAAATAATAATTTTGCTCAAAGTTGCTCATTCTGATTTTTTTCAAATAAGTACATTTCACAAAAATATAAACTAGGTTTTGGAAAACATTGTAATAAAGCCAAAAATGCCCTGCGCCCGCATTTGCTATATAAAAACTAGCGTAAACACCATAGTCACTTATTAAAATGGTTCTTTGAGTACAAAAACTAGCGAATTCGTCGTAATTTATTGGCTAAAAACAAAGATAAACAAGCCTAAATTTACCTTTGAAAGATCTTCTTGTCAGCCGAACTTCTTTCACAAACGTTCCGCCATTGCTGTGCCCAGTCCTAGATGTATGCCCGTTTCAACGCCCTCCCTCCTCCCGCCCTGGGTGATGTTACACGCGAAAATTTCAGCGTCAATTTTTTTGCGATACGCGTTGCCAACTGCTAATACATGTTACACAAGTTCTTTTTTTTTTTTCGCTCAACATTGCTACGAATTGAACATGATACACCCGACAATTTTTCGCGATTTTGTTCAAATTGAAACATTTCCTCGACCTCTTTTAAAGCTTGTTGTTTTACATATTTTGTTTGCTTGTCATGTGGAGACCACAGACAAGGCTTTGCTTTGATGAACGATACAAACTTCAGACCTGCTGCATCATCCTAGCGGCTTTGGTCAACTAACAATTTATCAACATCTCTCAAACTTTCGTCTTCTTTACTTACCGCCCCCATCTTGTTTGTTGACATCAGCCCGGTACTTTAACTGCATTCTGGGTAGGTGTTGCTCGAAAAATTGTCGACGAAGCTGTTACACGCATCAACTTGCTGAAAATTCGTCATTTCGCGTTGCGAGTTTTTGAAGGAAAATCAAAAACTCGCAAATTGTTGCCGTATCTGAAAACTACGCGCGTGGTATGTTAAACGCATCATTGTTTTGCGCAAAATCGTCAAGTGTAACATCACCTTTAATGTTGGCACGTGTATAAAACTATAAAAATATGTATGGCTTGGAAACCCTCAGTAATGCTTAAGTTACGCCTCATCTATTCCATCTCTTTTGAATGCATAGTGTATTCGGTTTTCAAACATTAAGGTAAAATTTTCTCATGTTTTAAACCAGATCTCGCCGCTAAGCACGCAAAGGATAATTTGTCAAATCGAACAGTTCCTACTGCCTAGTCTCCTATTTCATAATATATCTCACAGTAATCAAAATGACGACTGGTGACGCATTAAGGTGTTTCGATACAGTTGATCAAACTTACGCAGTTTAAAATCAAGAGCAACAGCAACATTTAGGATATTTTTGAATAATTTTATACAATAGTAGCTTTTTAAACTGAGTGCGCAAAAGAGATAAACAAAACTGAAAGTATGAAATGTTCGTGCGATTTTCTCCAAATCTAACATAAGAATTTCTTTAAATCCTTGATATTTTGTTTGTCATGAATTGGGGATTCATAGGAGTCAACAGTTTTTCTACAGCACATCTGAATCGCGCGCACTTTTGTTGTTTTTTTTTTCCAATTTTCGATTTTTCTCGATTTTCTTGCGTTGAAGACTTTGATTTTAAATAAAATATACATTAGTACAAACTTCAAACCAAGAGCAACAACTGGCATAATTTCTAAAATGATCCAGCAAACAGAACATTGTCAACCGAGCGATTGAAAAAGTTCTGTTTGGTGATCACGAAGACTTAAAATGTTTCCAAAACACATACCTCTTGTTGGTTATCTAGAAATTATAAACATTCATTCACTTCAATCTCTATAGATTACAATGTGCTTTCCTTGAATGTTAACGATACAATTTCTTTGCTTATCCTGTTACTATCATCCTTCCTCTTCTCATTGCGCGTTTTTCCGCTCTCACTGTTCGTTGGTTTGGTTAGTTAGCCCTTTCACCCCCGTACTTTATGTTTCTTATTTTCTTTGTTTTGTTTTTCGTTTTGTTGTCTTTTTTGTTTGTTTGTTTTTAAATATTTTTGTTCTTGCTTTCTTTGTTTTATTTGTTATCTTAATTTCGTTTGCT